GAATCCCGGAACGATTGGCTATTAATAGTCATGTTTCTTTTGTTTAGACATGGAGCTCAAAATTCACAACCCTGAGATCAAGAGCTGAGCTGAGACAGGAGTCAGATGTTTAACTAAATGAGCCACCCTGACCCCCATTCGGAATATTTTTTATGTCACTTTCTAATTCTAAAATGAAGTTATAAATAAGTATGCCTAACTTGGAGCCTCAATATAAATAGGATATTCCCGTCCAGAAATAAAACCACCACACTGAACTCTGGAGTTTCACCTGGAGAATTTCTTCCATGCCAGAAGCCACTTTAAAAAAAAAAAAAAAAGAGAGAGAGGTGGGGAGACACAGAGAGAGAGAGAGAGGAAGAGAGAGAATCTTAAGCAGGCTCCACACCCTGCACAGAGTCTGATGTGGGGCTCAATGTCACAACCCTGAGACCATGACCTGAGTCAAAATTAAGAGTCAATGCTTACTTGACTGAGCCACCCAGGCAATACTAGCACTCATTCTTTAAAATACATATAAAATTTACTTGTTCTTCTACAAGTTGTTATCTGAACTAAAGTCAACATGTCTTGAAATGACACTCATGATATACCCTACCATCCCCCTAACTAGGCCCTCCCCAACTCACTAAATGGGATCTCCATTCATCCAAAAATCTAGGCCTTACTGGTGTTATGTCATCGGATTGCTTTTACCTCCTTCCTCAATCTCTCTTAAATTCATTATCTGACTAGGGCAATCTGGGTGGCTCTTGATGAAGCATCTGACTCTTGGTTTGGGCTCAGGTCACGATCTCAGGGTCCTGGGATCGAGGCCCATGTTAGGCTCCCCACTCTGCAGGGAGTCTGCTTGTCTCCCTCTGCTCACTCTGTCTCTCTCTCTCTCAAAGAAATAAATAAATCCTAAAAAGAAATTCTTTACTTGTCTTTTGCTACCACAACTTCAACTGAGGCCATGTCCTCCTTTTGGTGAGCAGTGCTGTTCAACCCCCTCTCATCCCACCCCCCGGTAGCCCAAGCCCACCCACTTTAGGTCTCTCCTTCCTCAAGCAGCATTCGCTCTTAGCTGTCCTCACCATTAATACCCTCTCCTATAGAGCGGTAACCAAATTTTGATAACCATATAGCTTAGTTTTTCACTGTTTCCTCAGCTGGAGCATAGTGGGGACATCCGTGAAGACAGTCTTTGTCTTAACTATTTACTGCTGGATTCATAGTAGTACACTGGTTTGCATGCAGGGAATTTTTTTTATTTATTTATTTATTTTTTAAAGATTTCATTTATTTGACAGAGAGAGAGTAGGCAGAGAGGCAGGCAGAGAGAGAGAGGAGGAAGCAGGCTCCCTGCTGAGCAGAGAGCCCAATGCTGGGCTTGATCCCAGAACCCTGGGATCACGACCTGAGCCGAAGGCAGAGGCTTTAACCCACTGAGCCACCCAGGCACCCCGCATGCAGGGAATATTTTTAACTTAAAGTTTACCATCTTCACTAATTTTTAGTGTAAGTTCAGCAATACTAACTATACTCACATTGATGTGCAACAGATTCTGAAACTTCATCTTGCACAGTTGAAACTCTCTACCCATGGAACTACAGCTCCCCATTTCCCCCCTGCCCTAGTCCCTGGCAAACACCGTTCTACTTTCAGCTTCCACGAGCTTGACTGTGGATACCTCATATAAATGGAATCACAGTGCTTGTCGTCTTTCTGTGACTGGCTTGTTTCACCTAATGTCCTGTGGATTCATCCATGTTATAGCATGGGACAGGATCTCCTTCTTTAAGGTTCGATAATATTCCATTCACCACATTTTGTATCTACCACATGTTGTTTATCTGATTCATTCATTGGTGGACACTGGCTTGCTTCCACCTCTCGGCTATTGTGAGTAATGCTGCAATGAACATGGGTGTGCTAATCTCTCTTCAAGATCCTGCTTTCAGTTCGTTGGGGCATATACCCAGAAACAGGATTGCTGGATCATATAGTTCTATTTATAATTTTTTGAGTGACCTCTATACTGTTTTCTGCAATAACTACATGATTTAACATTCCCACTACCAATGCACAAGGGTCCCAGTTTCTTCACATCCTTGACATTTCTTATTTTATATTTTTGCTAGTGGTCATCCTAATGGGTGTAAGATGGCACAAAGGCAGTATTTAATAAATATTTGTTAATGTCTAGAAAGACTGAGGCTATAAAAATAAAAGGGTGTGGAGTTCCTAGAGTAATGGGAAGAAGTTCCTAGAGTACTGGGAAGAAAGGGTGACACAAATGAGATTCGTGCTAAATGTCTAAACAGCAGATGGAAGAAGTGGTCAATTCTCCTCAAGTGGGGAGCAGGAGAAATGGTAATGGAAAGCAGTCAAGGGGAATCCCCTGGAGTAGTGTTCTTAAATCTAAAGTAGGCATTCAAATAAAGAATGTTCCAAATGTAAAGAACAATATGTTCAAGCAGATATGGTACAGACCAACAGGGCTCTTGTTAGGAGAGAACTTTGATGTGGCGTGTATGTATGTGGGAGGTTAATGAGAAATGAAACAAATGAAGTAGGGCTTTGTCAGTCATACCGAGCGGGTCAGATTGGATCCATTCAATGGTGCTAAACCAGGGAGTGCCAAGATCCCATATGCACTCCTGAGAACTCTGTGTAGCAACAGTGTGAAGTGTGATCCTAGGGGCTAGGGACCAGACCATTCATCCACATAGGAGGCTAACAAAATCGTCACAGCAAGAGAGGACAGGGGTCTAAACCAAAGACAAAACTGTGGACCAAGAAGACTAGGCAAGGTATGTTAGTAGGTAGAAAATACAGACCTCTCTGACTGATAAGCAGTGGAAGGAGTGGAAGGGACCAATATCCACTCTTCAGGGGACAGATGAAGTTTAAGGGGAAGATGCCAGTTTGCTCTGAGACAACTGAGTGCAGTGTCCAATAGGCAGTTAAAAAGAGTCTGAGATTCAGGTCAAAGACACGGACTAGACACATATGTTGGAAGTTATAAAAATAAAAACTAGTGAATCCTACTATCTAAATACCACTCTTTCACATGTAAATCTAGGGTTGCAGAAATACCAGATGTCTTTACGTAGCATATCCTGTTTCTACTAACAAAACGTGTTTTTCTCATATTTTACAATATGCTAGATGGTTTCTCTCTTTCACAAAACTTAAATGCTCTTATGACTCTCCCCATATGTAATCTCAGGAAAAAGTGGATAATGATAGGCAAATTCCCATCACTTCCTCTTTGACAGTTTTGAGGACCAGCAGAAGGGCAGAGGATTAGAAATATCAAGAACCACCTTTTTGTTTCATGTCTAAAAGGAGCACCTAGTTTATTTAGTCAAATATCTACTATGTTACTACTGCTGAGAGAAGTATTCTAAACAGAATTCTAATAAGAATATTTGCATACTCTTCTGCAGGCAGGCATGCAATTTAATTGTCTTTTGTTTAAATGTGGAATTAAACCACCAATTAAGTAGTAAAGCTTTAAGACTAAGCAAATTGAGAAAACTTGATTTATATGTAATTATCACCCTTAATTCCCTGTATTTCATTACTAGGACACATAAACAATGACAGCATGTGGGCAAATAAACTTCACCGCCTATGTTCCTCAACTCGCTATTTTGTTCTATTGACTGTGACAAAAATGTTAGATACAAGAAAGTAACGATCTCAGACTGATCTCAGCGAGTCTCTCCACAACCTCAGTCTACTAGAGCTAAAAGGGCTTCACTCTAGGGTGCAACAGGACGAAAACTTTATCCTTCAGTCCTACACTCAGTTTCTTCTCCTCCAGTTATATCCCATTACTTAAAGTCAAGTAAAAGAGGAAACAGTCCTTTCTTAACAAGGAAGAAAGAAAGTGCTAGAGACTGAATGGATGTGTGAGGCCACCCATACCATTTGTAGTTGAAACCTAATCTCCAGTGTGACAATATTTGGAGGTGGGGCCCTTGGGAAGTGATGAGGTCATGAAGGTGGAGGCCTCGTGAATAGGAATAGTAAGTAGTCCCCTTATAAAAGAGGCTCAGAGAGGTCCTCATCCCTTCCACTTGTGAGGACACAGAAGGCACTACCTTATGAACCAGAAAGTAGGCCTTCACCAGACACTGAACCTGCACATATCTTGATCTTGGACTTCCCAGCCTTCCAGCATTGTTGATAAAACACTCAGTCTATGGTACTGCGTTAGAAATGCCCAGACTAGTCGACTAAGACAGAAGGCTGCAGGTTAGTTAATTGCCAGACTGGATTAATAATAGTCCTCTCTTTAATAGTTCTGGTAAAATAGTTGACCATAATCATTCTCTCTTTAAAGTTACATACAAAACTGAGAAGTCCTGACACTCCCTGGAATGCTAATGCTCAGCATGAAGCATTACAGCAGTCTGATCCTGTTGGGAAATTCCTGGAGCAGAACAATCTCAACACACTTGATATCAGGCAGAGTTACACAGGGTCCCCACCGCTCGAGTCTACTACCTGAGTCTACCTCACCTCCTTTTTTGCTTCTCAGTAACCCAACAGGGCAGAGAATGCGTTTACCCCACACAGCCACGACAGTCTGTACAGCAAGGCAAATGCTCTCTCCCAAGCGTCCAGTAAGTACACATCAGTACTCTTGACATTCCTTCCCATTTGCTTCCTTCCCTGCTTTCCAGGCATGCTTAATTTCTACCATACAGGTGAATTCAAGAGCTAAAAATCCAACATAAAAATGTTTAAATCAGTTCTTTCAGTCTCTAATAATTAACACAGAATAAGACATTCTATTCTCTCTGCTTAAGGTATTAGTGGAAAAACATACACACGAGGGCAATAAGTTATAGGTGATTCTCTCTGCATGGGTTTTTTATATTTACCAAATTTCTAAAACGGATATAAAATGTCATAAATTTTAAAGCAAAATTTTATACTGTATAAGAAAAAATACAACATTTTTCTAAGAAGACACAAATAAATGGGAAATCATTTCACTTACTTTTTGCTCAGGGCTTTCCTGAAATAGAAGTCCAAAGTAGTCCTTCTCCAGAAGATTGAGATGTTCACACACTTTGTCAAATAACACTTGTCCCTTAGCACGTTTCTGAGGGGAAAGAAAAGGTATCTTTACTTTTCAAGCACTAAAGATTCCATGAATACTATAAATGAAGGACTTCACATCAGATAATATTATTTAGTGTAATATAAAATGTTTCCCAATCTTTTATAATACAAAAGAGCGATGAACAACTTTTTCACTTTAGAATCCTCCCTCTCCCCACCATATATACAAAGCATAAATTCTAGAATGAAAGCATGATCAAATGCTCTATGCTTTACTTTCTACTCCACAAAAATATAAAAATGTCTCAAAAAGTAAGGTGCTAGGAGTTCATTTAATTTTAAAATAGTACAGAAATATGTCCAAACTGCCCCTCTCAATTCCTTAAGGTGGCTTATGTCCTATCTACAAGGTATTCCCCCAGGAAAATTATTTGGCCCTACTCTTCACTGTATCCTAACATCATTTATCCCATCAGTACTTAGGTTTGATTTCTGTTCCATGATATTGGTAGAACAGAAATAAAATTGTTTTCAATTCAAGTTAAGCTTTCTCTTGATAATGATGAGACATTCAGTCTTCAGAACAAAATTTTAAGATACTAACAGAACTGGGAGAATAAAATCAGTTGCCTCCAAGGATGTAACATACTTTTGCCTTAAATAGTTTGCTGTATTTTGTTTTGTTTTGTTGGGGCCCCCTGGGTGGCTCAGTCAGTTAAGCGTGTGTCTTTAACTCAGGTCATGGTCTTGGGGTCCTGGGATCAAGCCCCACCTCAGGCTCCCTGAGCCTGCTTCTCCCCCTCCCACCATCTCTCTCTTGAACTCTCTCTCTCAAATAAATAGAGGAGATCTTTTTTAAAAAATACTTTAAGAAACTGCTATCCACAGAGATAAAAGACTTTAACAGCCACAGAAGAAAAGCTCATTGTCTAATCGGTGACAAAACATAAAGCAGTGACATTCCCAATTAAGATGCATACCCCTGGGCAGGCCCAACTGTGAGGTCTCAGACACAGGCCTCCCCTTACCCCGCAACGATATAAGCAGCTATTGGACCTCAAGCGAAAACTGAACCCACACTCAGACATTATCATCCTCAAGATGAATGCCCTTACACTCTCAAAATGGTTACTCATTCATTCATTCACTGTGTGGAAATAAATGTCTCTCACAGATGTATCTTAAACAAGGCAATAAGATATGAAGGACATTTAATGTCAAATAAGTACAACTCTGATAAGGGACTGCAAAAGGCAGTTTCAGAGAAACTCAAGTCAAGGGCTGGTTTCTCTCTAGGTTTTTCTTCCTCTGCTTTGTGGAAGCAGAGGTGGAAAACCCATGTCTGAAAGACAAGCAAAGGATAATCCGGAACTTTCATTACTGAACCTTTTATAATAATGTTTCTTAGGAAAAAAAAAAGAATAGAATTATACGAAATAGTAGAAGGAAGAAGGAAAAAACGACAGATTATTTCAACATAGTAAGCACTGTACTTTGACCATTTACAAATTATGTGGCCAAGGAAAAGCCACTTTACTTCTACTTGCCTTAATTTGCACATCTGTGAAATGGAGCAACAGAAGGCACCATGGGAGCAGTGAGTGCTAAGTGAGCTTTAAGACATCCAAGGAGCTTAGAACAGTATGGGTGGCATACCGGGCTTAATCCATATTGGCTCTTATCATTAGAAGCTGGTGAGCTCTATTAACATGAAAAGTGACTGATTTCACTTACATGAGATTTTTGGCTTAAGCTTTTACAGTGAAAGGCTCTCAATTTCATTATTTGATCCGCATGCAATTATTAACCTATATAATTAAAATTCTGAGCTTGGAGGTATCTTAAATTAATTTTATTAGGAGAAGGGAACTCAAAGCATGTTGGCTGTCTTTCTTAAATGTACAGTAAAATCTATGGTCTTTTTATAGGGACCTGGAATAGATGTGAAGAGATATGGTTGCAAATAAAAGAATTTCTTTTTTTTTAAAGCGAGAATGTGCACGTACATGGGCGGAGAAGGGGTGCAGAGGGAGAGGCAGAGAGAGAATCTTAAGCAGGCTCCATGTTCAGCATGGAGCTAGACACAGGGCTCAATCTTGTGACCCTGAGGTCATGACCTGAGTGGAAATCAAGAGCAGGACGCTCAACTGACTAAGCTACCCAGGCGCCCCAAAGAATATTTTAGAGATAATCAATAATTTAAGATAGAATTAGTGAATTCTCAGACATGAATTTCAACATTGTTCACTTCTGAATGCCCAGTGACCAGAAAGCTGCCCATCATAACAGGTGGTCAAAAAATGTTTACTGATTCAACTGTGTAGTATGTAACATACTTATTTTTAATTAGATGACATTTCACCTCTTCAGGCTTCTAGTGACTGACTTTAGCTACAATTTCAGCATCCACTTTGTAGTTAGGAGCCTTCCTTATCTGAGATGGCAAAGACAGCAGTCAGCTACAGCTTGGTCCACATCTATCTACTTGGACATCATCCCCCATGCATTTACGAGATACAAAGGACTCACAGGGAACATTTTATCTACTATAAAACAGAGATATCGTCTTATTTAGAAAGACACTAAAAACTCAACAGAAGCTAATATAAGAAGTTGAACTTCAATCAGATAAAGTTCCCAAACGTATCATTTCTAAAAATGTCTTGCTCTATGTGACAACTACTTTCAAATGAGCAAACTACTGAAACCAGTTAGCTGTAGATATCATGAAGAAATGTCACGGAATCAAAAGGAAAGTCATACTATTTTGTGATAACACAACTTGAAATTAGGGTAAAAAGGATATTTCAGATAATAAATGTCTATGAAAATATACCTACCTCAGTCCAAAGAGAAAACATATTCCAACACAGGCTCAGAGTAAAACTTTATTAGTAAATCATACTTTCTCACTGGTTTCAGGTTCAAAAATAGAAACATGCTCTCACGGACAGAATTCCCCTGAAAGACTAAGGGGGAAACACGCACAAAGCTCAGCACCACAACTGGGCGGTGGTGTGCTGGGCAGCCCAGCGGCAGCCGCACAGGGGGTGGAGTCAGACCCAGTCCCCTGGTCATTCAACAGCCTGTAGGCACTTTACTGTTACTACACAAGCGTGACGATAGGCAAGCCACTGAGTCTCTGTAACTGTAAAAGGAAATCACAAGTATCTCACAGCTAACTGTGAGGGCCAAATTTGCCCAATGAGACAGTACATTCACCGTGCCAAATCAAGTGCCCTACTAGGCCAGCTGAATCCTGTTGGCAACTGTTCTTTCACTAGTCCACATCCAACAAATGCCAAAGTATCTTCTAGAGGCTTAGACTGCTTCTCTGCTATTCTCTCCTCCCCTTCTCCAGGAAACTGGAATTTGAAATGCTTGATTAGATCTTAACTGCACACAGATATTACTTAAGCTTCCATTCAACCTCTCCACCCTCCATGAACTCAAAGTCTGGCTGGAAGATAAAAATGCAGAAATACCGTGGGGCAGGTACTGAAAGATACAAATACCAAGTGATGAGTAACGGGGTCGAAGAAAAACCACAGCTTCACCAAGACTGTGGCATCTGAAATTAATCTGAAAGGAAATTACTTCCATCACAAGGCAGAGAAAGAGCATATTTGAAAGAACTTTTTTTTCACTTTGGATGTTTCTAGAGTCTGATGGAGAAAATTTCTCTACAAAAATACTGGAGAATAAAGTAAGAGGAAAAAAAATGTCCCATCCATAATGGACAAGTCATACACTATGCCTGCCAGGTACACTGAGATGACTGCCAGAGCTTGCCAAGCTGAAAGGCTCCACACAGACTGATCCAGCAACTAATATGTTTTAGTTCCTTTGTTAAGACATCATGAAAACAATGATAAATAAGATATAGATGGTCCTGGAAAACTTACAGTCAAATGACAGAAAATAAAAAGGAAGTTCACCAAGGGAAAACAAAGCCCTATGAATCTACCTCTCTAGAAATAACTAGAGACCTGGTCCAACTGGTCCAAAGAATACTAACCAATGACCCATGATATAGCTTCATACAATAGCTCTACTCAAAGATAGTATCTTACTCTAGGATAAAGATTACCACATACAATCACATCTTCCCTCAGCAAGTTTAAATACAAGATGAGTGGTATAAACACAAGAGGTGAAGATAGTGAGAAAGCAATAAGCAGAAGCCAAGGGTATCAGGAGGCAGACTTCCAGCAGCAAGCATGTTCCACTGGTCCCACTAGTCCCAAGAGATGTTCCATGTGTATCTCCCATCCCCCAAAAGGAAAGTAAGAGTGGGACAAAGAAAAATTCTGCTTAACTATTATGCATCAAACTTCCTGTTTTCCATGCAAGATATCCTGAGAAGTTCTATGATGAAAAAAACTTGTTTACCTGACATTTCCCAAAATTATTTGGCTAAATAAAGCACTATCTTATTTTAATACAATGCTTACTAACTTACTCCACATCAGAATTACTGTTCTACAAACCATTTTTCAAGAAATGAAGGAGAAAAAAAATTACCATTATCTGGCCCACCAAGCAGTTTTGGAGACTGGCGTTAACATTTTTTATTACTATTAATATGATTTATTAAACACATATGTGCATGCACACACACACAGTTTACTCATTATTTTTTTTATTCAAAAATCTCAAAAAAAAAAAAAAGAATTTGGTTTAAACTGATTCGGAATTGGATGTGTCCAGCTGTCTGGCTGAAGCAAATGATTCCCAGATATAAAATCCCAAAAAATATAACCAAAATAATCAAAGCATGCACAAGGAAACCCATCACTACTATTGAGTATTACAGGATCAGAATTAGATCTTCAGAGACTATAGATAATGGAATTCTCAAGTACAGAACACTTTTACCTATTTAAAGAAATAAATGAATATTATATAATATCAAGAAATAACTATGAAAAATCAGATTCTGCAAAGAACCAAATAGAATATCTGTAAGTAAAACCTGTTAACAATAAGTTGTAATCCAAATGGACAGAGTTTGACACAGACAGAAAACCAGTGACCCGG